AACCTACACATTTACTTTTCTTTTTAATCGCTTAGCCTTCAGAGGAGCTGGATGCTTTTTTGCTCTTTCCAGAACCTGCCCCTTCTACCCTGCTTTGCTGCTCTTTCAAGCCTTTTTTCTACCTACCATCTGAAACAAAAAGGAATTATGGATTTGGTCAATTGGTCTCTGAATGCAATTGACACTATTTTTTCCACATTAAGATTAGATTGAGGGGAACGAAGCTGTCAGTTGTTCTTGGGGGAGCTGGAATCTGATGTGTATCACACCACTTTCCATTGAAGAAGTGGAAGATTTGTATATATTTGGATTTATCATAACTGGATTTCTGCTGATCGACGGAGGCATATCCCTGATTTATCAAAAAGTGAAAGCGATCCTGACAGTGATCCAGGCCGTTGAGAAGCTCTCGGGCACAATGGATGACTCTGCTGGGGTGGGAGCGCACAGACTCAGTTGCTGGGGGTGATAAATCGCAAACTGGATGTGGTTCTGATAAGAATTTCAGCTCAGGAGTGAGCCTCTGGCATGTATGATTATATTTGGGTGAAGCTCCAGATGGTGAGAGGCAAGGAGGACCCCAAATTCGGCTTATTGGAACTTTTTTCGCCACTTCAGAGATGCAGTCAAGACATTAAAAAACAGTAGAAAATTCAATGCTGCTTTGTCCCAAAACAATCGTGTTTATCTACTCCCAGCTGCTTGGCCTCAAATGCCATGCTTATCTAATCTCCCCAAGGATGATATGTCAACAAGGGCTTGATTCCCTCCCACCCCCATCTCCTGTGTTGGACCTGGCCTGTGAACCCAAGGCCGATGAGGAGGAAACTCTGAACTCTGGTGAACCGAGCAAAAGATGATAATAACATCATGGACTCTGGTGGGTGCTGGTGTCAGGCTCTAGCACAGAGATCCACCCTCAGTGTCACTGGCACCGACTCACTAAATCCCGTCCCTCTCATGTGTTACCTGACCCAAGCTCCCTCCCCGCCCCAGCTGTCTGCTCTGTCGCGAGTGGTTTTTTGTGCATATGATTCTGTGTTTCTGATGTAAACATAGGATCAGAGTAGGGTTGGGCGTAATCATATCGTGTGCAATTAATCGTCTGAAAAACATTAATCGATTACTTTTTGGCACTTGACGATTAATATGATTAATGCTACCAGGCAGAGTCCACTCGCTGCTCCTCTCTGATTCGGATATGATGAACATAAAAAGTTCTGTAATTTATTTATCTATCAACACAATTTGAAATTTGATTTATAGCCTGAAGTCTGTAATTTTGACACAAAGATTTTTATGAAGAGCAAATCTTTCCCACTAAATTGGGCATGTGACCAGGACATAAGGGTGTCCAGGGATTCCAGGGCATTAATCATCGAATTAATCGTTATCGGCTAAACACCATAATTAATCGTGATTCATTTTTTTGCCAATATTGCCCAACCCTGGATCAGAGTAATTTTTTAACTCAACTTTTCTATTGTTTATTTCCAGCTGTTAAAGGCACTACTCATGAATGAACATCATGAGTAGTGCCTACTCATGATGTTCTTTCATGATGATGATCCATCCCTGCCCTGTGCAGGGTCTATGGCTGCAAGTCCTGGGGGCACCTGTTCTCCCATGTTTGTTTACGTTTTGTCTTGTGAACGGGTGTTCTGAAATGTAATTTCTCCATGGGGTCAATTAAGTATTATAAATCAATCAATTAATCAAGTTAAATGCTTTGTGAAGATGGTTTCAGTGTTAACCGGTCATAAAGACTAGTCCTACATTTAAAGAAAAACATAAATACAACATTTATCTACAACAAAACACACAAAGTCAAGCACAACTATCTTTATGCACTAACCTTGGATTTAACCATTAAATTTACAAAGTTATTATGACAAAAAATGGGAGATTTTGCAGTTACCTTCGTACAGACGAACATGTGGTAGTTATCATTGATCACTGTTGTATTCATGCTTATGCGGTCGGCCGCAGGCCTTTATCCATCGTTTACATTTTTCCAAATTCCATTTGAATTTAGGAAATGGAATAAACTCTATTCTGCCCTCTAAACGCTCTGGGTAATGTTTAACTATTTTTTATGATTATTTTTCAACCAATCTCTATGACCGCAACGTGTCCGCAATGATGAATCCCGACTTTATTATCGGAATTAAAGGGGGTTCCGCTCCTCCAGGTAAGGGGTGATTCACTTTGGGACAAAATGCGACTGCCGATTGGTCAGCTGCTGACAAACCCACAAGATTGATTGGCAGGTCGTGTCATGTCTTGTGATGTTTTCTGTTCTTCAAAAGAAATTAAAACCAATGTAGTGTTCTGAGATGTTGTGATATGATAATTTTGACAAGAGGATCAGCTTGACAGTTCTTGTAAAAGGGGTGTAATGAAAAAAGATATAGATTACAGTGATGCAGGAGATAGATAAGTGTTCATCTTGCAACTAGAGCATCATGTTATGCAAGAGTGGCTCATATAATCACTGGAGTATACTCTAGTGAACTCTAGTGAACTGAGTCAATTTTGTGCTTTATAATTAGCTTCTGCCAAGTTTTATTGAGCGTAAGCACTTTAGAACTTGTGCAACTAACTTTTAGATTAGCACTGCCCACCACTGAGGACATTCTATTTTGAGGCCAAGTTTGTCCAAGTTCTGTTGTGGAAACACAACAGTGCCTCCTACAGTGTATATAATATCTGTGGATCACAGTTTATGGTGTAACACCAGAATGGTCAGATACCATCCATAAATCAAACTCAATTTTTTTAAATAGTAAAATTTTATAAGCTTAAATGATTACAGATCATCCTGAAATTAAACTTTTATGACTTTATGTTAATTTGTTACACATTAGTTTTCACATTTTGGATTTCAAAATAATAATAATTTGATGAAAATCTTGATTAAACCACAGATAAAATTTAAAGCATCTCAGTGTGAATCAAACACTAGGGTTGGCTTTTTATTAGGAAAAATCTAATAATTACTGAAAAGTTGAAACGGATCTGGGGTAATTTTATTTTAACTTTGTTTTCTTTGAGTTATAATATTTGTTTTGTAATATTTTTCACCTTCACACTTAAACATCTAATAATCAATAATCAGAAGCAATTGAAGCAGTTTTTTCCTGTTCTACCTGTTGCAGACTGTGTTGCAGTTTCTCCACCACTGGTTCCCAGTCATTGGTTTTAACCCACTCTGCTCCACCACCCTCAGTTTCCTCCAGTGCCAGTCTGTTCTCATTGGCCAGCTCAGTCATATTGGCCATGCCCCTTTCAAGGCGAGCAATGGCAGCCTTCAGAACCATGCAGTCTGAGGATGAGTTCTGCCTGTAGAGGACTGTGTACAAATAGTCTACATCTACATCCATCTCCTGCAATCGTTGTTCGTGCTGCGTCACATTTACCGCCAGCTCCTCCACCCGCTGTTGAACCACAACTTTAGCCTGCTCCACTTCCAGACCTGTCTCCATGAACAGAACCTGGGAGGTGCGGGCTGTCTGGTTGATCTGCTTTTCCAGAACTATTAGTTGCTGCGTCAGCTGCTCAATTGCACCAGATGTACTTTCCACATCCTCCATCAGGCTGCCCACCTGCAAAGAGACAAGTAAAACTCTTAGAGAGGACTACATGAATTATTATTTGTTTGTGTAGCTTCTCAATCATTTTGGAGATTCCTATAAGTTAAATATCCAAACTATTTCTTTGTAGCTGAAGCAATGTTATTTCTAATCTGAGGAACTTTCTTATTTCAAAACGGAAATGATTTTATTTAACTTTATTTATATTTTATTTAACTTAGAGAAACAGCCTGCTAATATAAGAAAGCCCATCATAAAGCTAGAATTGTGTATTATTCATCTTTAATAGAAGAAAATAAAAACAATCCCAGGTTTCTGTTCAGTACTGTAGTTAGACTAATTAAAAGTCATATCTCAGTTGAGGCATGTATCCCCATAAGTATAAGTGATGATGACTTCATGAGCTTCTGTATAGCTAAAATTGTTTTAATCCATCCTTTATCTATACTCGCTTCTTCCTTTCAGGGTCATGGGGGTCACTGTGGGAGGGGCGAGGTACACCCTGGACAGGTCACAAGTCCATCACAGGGACACACATAGAGACAAACGAGACAGACAACCATTCACGCCCTCACTCACATCTAGGGACAGTTTAAAATTACTAATTAACCTAACAGTCATGTTTTTGGTTTGTTGGAGGGAGCTGGAGTATCTGGAGAAAACCCAAGCATACACGGAGAGAACATGCAAACTCTATCCAGAAAGGTCCCCAGGCTGGGATTTGAACCGGTGACCTTCTTGCTGAGAGACATCAGCTCTACCTACTGAGCCACTGTGCCTGTGCTGCCAGAAAATAATGTACGACTATTCAATTTACATAATACAAATTAAACGTTACATTTCCAATAATACAATTTATTTCAATTAGAGATAAAATTATGCCAATCTTCCTGCTACTGTCTCTGATTTTCTGTCAGATGAGGAAGCTTTAGTGTCACTACAACCTGATTTATATTTGGTCAGTTTTTGTCCTGTTGAGCTCTCTGAATTATCGAAAATAATAGCTTCATCCAAACCATCAACATGTGTGCTAGATCCCATCCCAACCAGACTGTTCAAAGAAGCATTTCCCTTAATTAACACCCATATTTTAGATGTACTTAATTTGTCTCTAATGAATGGTTATGTGCCACAGAGCTTTAAGGTTGCTGTAATTAAACCTTTACTTAAGAAACCTGATCTTGATTCAGGAGTTCTGGCCAACTATAGACCTATATCTAATCTCCCATTCATCTCAAAAATTCTTGAGAAAACGGTTGCAAATCAATTGTGTGAACGTCTGGACAAAAAAATCTGTCTGAGGAGTTTCAGTTAGAGTTTAGAGCTCATCATAGCACAGAAACAGCACTGGTGAAAGTTATTAATGAGGGGACAGTGGAACAAAGAAGCTATAAGAATCAGAGGTCACAGATGTGTAGGACCACAAGTACTTGGGGTCAACTATTCATGAAAATGAAGAGTTAATAAAAGTGAGGCACCTAGAAAAGTGAGGCTACAAGCAGCAGGTGTCCCAAAACCATTGTCTATTCAGGAAAATTGGGAGTGAATTAAAAAGGTGAAGAAAAGAGTCTCAGCCAAGATGGAGTGGAGGAAGAGAAGTTGCAGTAGTTATGATGAAAGGTTCATAGTAAATTCCAAAAGAAAAAATTATGAAAGAGTCATATCAACAAGTGGCACTGACAGAAAAAAGGGAGACAGAATAGAAGTGGCAGACTTGAAGATGTTGAGATTCTACTTGGGAGAAAGAAAGATGATTAGGAATGAGATCATCAGAAGTACATTACAAATGAACAATTGGGAGATAATGTTAGAATGGCCAGATTGGGATGGTTTGGATGTCCTGAGGAGGCACAGTTAGTTTACTGGTTTATGGATGTTAATAATGCAGCTGCCAGTAAAAAGACAAACAAGAAGGCAAAAGAGAACAAATGTATATGGACCAACCTATTTTTAGAGGCCTAGATCTATGTAAGACATTAGGGCCTCAAACAGACCTTATACATACTCCTCATGTTATTGCTCAGTTGTGCACGTCATTAGGGTATTGAGGACGACATGGGCCAAGGTCAACATGCACAAACAGATTGGACCCTGGTCATAACTGTTTCACAGTTCTAGTTTTTAATTAAATCTGATAATTTATTTGATCTTACCTTCATTTTTTTTGCAATAAATCTCCTGGTTCTCCCTGCATCTTCATGTTGTTATAAAATTAAGGTGGAAAAGTAGTGCGTTTTCAGCATCACAGATGTGTGAACAGCGATGACAAGAGGGTGACAGGCAAAAGGCAAAAGATCTAGGAGAATGAGAAGAGAAAGTGAACCAGAATCTGATCCATTATATTAGTGTTTCTCAACGGGGGCCGTACCGCCCCTTAGTGACGGATTGTGATGGTGCTAGGGGGCGTTGGCAGCAATCTTTACAAAAAGAGGGTGCTGCAAAATGTTTGAGGCATAGACTTAAATATCACTAGACTGAGTCCCGCCCATACCGTACACTGGTAGCGTCTATGACAGCATTGAGGAGCAAAAATGGCGTCTAAAAGGTCAACAGCTCGCAGCCTCAATGAAACTAATAGATAAACAGCAGCTGAACCGGATCTGTTTCACAGATTATTGGTCATGTTTTTACAG